GCGGTCCCGGTCGGACTAGGTTGATTGTCCTACCGGTTTCTCGCGGAGCATCTGCTCCCTCGGCCCGAGTCACCGGTGATGTGGGGGGACTATGTACCGGAAAGCGTTGTTTGAGTGTTGCAAGCTTTCTGGCCTGGGAATGTTCTACTTCCCCATCGGACAATGGCCTCTCTCATCCACTGCACGCGTGTCCCGGCAAAGTTGGCGTGGCCTGGGGAAAGGCTGTGCTGCCTAAGAGCCGCCAACTTCCGTGGCCCCATCAAAGAGGCCGGGTGGGCAGGGTGCGGGAGAGGTGGGTGCACAAAGGCCCCCCGCAGGCAGGCGCCCCAGTTGTTGTACGTCAGTTCGAGAGGTTCGAGCTGGTAGACCCGCCATCCTGAGGATGTCTGAGTCTGGAAGCCCTCAGAACTAGAGATAGCCAGTAGGGACGCTCCAGCTTGGGGGGCTAGGGTTAGCCAAATCCCAGAGGCCCTTCAGTCCCGGGCATGGAAACAGCAGGTCCAGCAGGAACACTGTGTCGGTATCTGGGACCACAACTGCTCCCAGGGAACTCATCCCCCAGAGTCTCAGAGGCACGGACACAAACGCTCCTAGAGACAGGGCAGTGCCGCGGGCCGGCGGGGCCGTCCGAACAACAGGGAACAGGTACCCAGAGGGAGGGATGTTCTTGGACAAAAAACACCAACCCTACTCAGAACCCTGACACTACAGGATTGCTAAGGACCCTCGGACGTCCAGAGCCTTTCCTAGGCCAAGGGGACAGCGTCTACTAGCCGAAACAGACACACACAGAGACAGGACGAGAGCTGGCCCCGAGACACCAAAGGAGGCAAGCTCGCAGAGCCAGCGCCCGAGAAAGGCGGGATACCCTAACCTAAAACTGGGTGCCAGAATCGGTCTGCGCACGGGCGGAGCAGCCCCCTCCCCCAGTCACCACTGCATTTCTATGGAGGTGGGCTGGGGCGGTGCTCTGTTTGGAAGGTTGGGGTGGGGGCCCCAAACGGGTCTTGGAGCTGCATTTGCACGGCCAGTCACCCTTTGTACTTAAGAGATAATGCGTGTGAAGCACGGAAGGGTGAAGGGGGGGGGGCTTTAAGGATTGATAGAGGTTGTGGCGCTGATGGGCCACCTTGGCAGGTTGCACACAACCTGTTCCCCCACCCCCAGCTGGGAACCTCCCTACTGCTCTGCTTGGGGAGGGGCGGGCTGGCTGCCGGTGCTGCTGCGAGGGGTGGTGTGTGGCAGATCCTTTGTATTTTGTCACTACCACTCCTCCCCTTTGCCCACCTCGCGTCTCTGGAGCAGGGATTTCTCAGGTTGACCCGCAGTGGAAGCAAGCAAGTGCGCACAGAGCTAACGAGCCGGCCCGCCAGCCCCAACTGCTGGCAGAGCAGGCGACCGCGGGCGGAGAGGCGGCTGCGGGGCCCTCGCACTGCCGGCCTCCTGTGTGTTTTAAGTGTTATTGATTCGCCCGCGGCTGAGTGGCTTCTCTCCCCCGCCTCCCCCCCCCCCCCACCCCCACCTGCTTTAATCTTCACTTTGGCTCGCGCACCCGCCGCCACGCGCGCATCTAGCATCCAGGAAGCCGGTCTGGCTGATTGGCGCTAGCCGCTTGTGGCTTTATCTTCTTTTTAATTAGAAACGGGGTGGAGGGACCCGGAGGGGAGAGAGAAAGGAAAAACAACAGAAAATAACCTCCCCTGGCTGCACCGCCTGCCCGACCTCCCGCCGGCGCCAGCACCTCATTGACCCCGTGGGGGCCCAGCTGCCCCGGGGAGGGATCCAGGAAGGGCGCTAGCCGAACTGCGGCCCAGCAGCTGCCCTTTGGGGCCCAAAGAGGTCCAGGTCGGGAGGAATTGCAGGGTAATTTGGGACCAGGCCCTGCTGCTCCATGAGCCTTGGGTTATCTATCTGTAAAATGAGCATGCGGGGTGAAGTCCCTAAGAGGCCGTCTAGTTCCCCAGATATGACTGGTTCCTTCTGATGGCAGGACATCTGTGGTATTTTTATTTTATCTGGATAGTTCCAATGATTGAAGCACCAGCCCCTGTGACAATCAGATCTAATAATAATAATAATAATAATAATAATAATAATAATAACAACAACTTTAACAACAACATCTTCTAAGCACTCTCCATGTTTTAACACGTTTAATTTTTGCAGCAATCCTGTGAGGTGGGGGCTAATTATTATTATCCTCATTTTAGCCATGGAAGTACAGAGAGGAAGTGTAACTTGCCCAAGGTCACACAGTTAGTAAGCGAAGGAAACTTACATGGCACCCTAGCTCTGACCACTTAGCCAGGAGCCTATTGTTCCTATGAATTTTTGACCCTAATATATCATTACACTTCTCTGCTGGTGTAGGAATTTCCTTGTGGTCAGGTAAGAGTTCAAAGATTCCTCCTGACTTATGGATAGAACCTCCACTTAATCTTTCTGTGCCACTTCTTTCTCAAACAATTCAAACATCCTAGCTCTGTGTAGACTCTGTTTTAATGGTTGAGATGAATGGCTGTAGCTTCTGTTTCAAATCCATTACCTGTTAGCCTCCATGTCTCAATCTCTGTGAACCCCAGTTTTCAGACATGTGAAATAGATATGGTGAGTCTTGCCCAACAGGGCTGTTTAGAAAGGTCGCATGGGCTAATGTTAGTGACAGCATTCACCATACAGACTTGACACATACTAGGGATGCTGCAAAAGTTCACTGAGGCAGTCAAGTCCATATTTGGGAAGCAGGTGCTCACCTTAAGTGACATTTTTAAAGTTCTACAATCCATTTATGCAGTAACCATTTAGTGAACCAGCAGACAGCCTTCCTGCCCTCAAAGAGCTCACAGTCTAATGAGAAAGGCAATGAACAAGTGAGCAGACAAATGAAAAACAAACACACACATTAAGACATTTCAGAGGACTGGACCATGAGTAGCAAGAGTATTAAGAAACACAAAACGGAGATTGTGATGGAAAGTTAGGAGGGGAGGGGTGGGAAGGCAGGTGACTCAAGGTCACATAAATGATGACAAGAAGCCAAGCATGTGAAGCTCAGGGGGTGAGAAAGCTTCTAGGGAGAGGTACCAACAAGGACAAAGGGCCTGAGACAGGAAGAAGCTGGTGTGAGGCAGGAGCAGAGGGAAAAAGGACAGGAGTGGTCAGTTAGGCACCTGGAAAGGAGTGGGATCAGCTCATCTCTGGTGCTATTGACACAGAGTAACTGCGCTTTAAGAAATCCCAATTTCAGAACAACTTCCCATGCCTGAGCTCCAGGATGGAAAGCATGGGGCACTTACTCCAGTGACTGGCCATGGCCCTCAATAAGTGGAAGCTCTTATTATTATAACTACAGTGAGACATCTGGGGTGAGATCTCTTTCAAAGTAGACTTGAGGATTATACAAAAGGAAACTCCATATGAATGGGCCATCTTTATGCAAATGAAGGACTACCTGCATCATTAGGGTTACCATCTGAGCCTGTTTGGGGTTATCTTGATATTAAGAATGGCCCCATCCTCAGGCCAGGTATCCACAAGTCACACTGATGCCCGTCTTTCTACCTTCTCCATCTGTCCCGTTAGCTCCACCCCATCCATCAGTCCATCAATCCATAGCAAGTTTGGTCAGCTCCATCTGCAGCCATCCCCAAAGGCCAAGCCACCACCACCTCTTGCCTGCTCACTCTCCCTGCTTCTGCCCTGGCATCTTATAGTCCTCTCCCATGGGGCTGGAGAGATGGGACACTGTCAGTATCATGCTTACAGCCTTTCAGTGCTTTCTGATACCTGAGAACATTCTAGCCCTGAGTCATCTTTTGCCCCCAGATTGTCCTCCTTCCTAAGCTCTGGTTTGCATCACCTTCTATGGGTTCTTTCTGTTTCTTGGAGACCCCAAGCTTGTCCCCTTCCATGACTTCGTTTTCTGTTCCCTCTGCCCATAAATACTCTTCCCCATACCTTTCCACTGCTGATCATTCAGGTCCCTGCTTCACTGCCACTTCCTCAGGAAGACCCTTCTTGACCACCCCAGCTAAAGTGGCTCTGTCCCTTCCCTCCCAAACCCACCCTTGCTGCCATCACAGCATCTTTACTTAGGCTCCGTAGTGTGCACCACTGTCTGGAATGGCTTGTTGTATTTGTTTATGGTGCGTACATTGTCTCCCTCTGTAGCTCTTCGAGTGCAGGGCCTTGGCACCTGAGAGATGTCTGATATGTGTCTATTCAGTGAATGACTCTCCAGAATAGGCATAAGCTTCCTCTAGGCCAGTCATGTCTAGAGGAGGCTACATATACACCATTGGCATGCAGGGAGCAAACCTAGAACTTGTATTCACAATTTCTGCTTAAATATTTTTTGCTAATAAAACATACACATACATACTAGAGAGTATATAAAACATGTACAAACAGTTGTTTTTTTAAATGAACATCTGTGTACTCACCAACCTTTCAGAGGCAATTGCTGCATGAAATTGTAGTATCCCTTGCTTGCCTTTATCGTTTTCCCACATAAAGATGATTCCTAAACAATATTGGGATTCATTTTGCATGATTTTAAATTTCATCTCAATTGAAACCTACCATAATTAGAAAGGCAACTTGCTTAGTTCCAACATTTATGTTTGACATACATCATCTTATTTTTTGCTATTGAAAAAGGAAATCAAGCCTCACTAATATTGTATATACACCCCACACAGAAACCAATGTGAAACCACAGGTGAATAAACCTGGGTTGGGGTGCTGTATCAAAAAAGTTGGGAGACTCCTGCTGGGAGCTGTGGGGTGAGGTGGCCAGGGATGGATACCAGGGAGGACCTGTAGTCCATGCCCCACCCTGCGAGCCTAATGCTCCGTCTCTCTGTGTCCCCTGCTCCAGTGGCTTCTCCTCGGTGGTAGCTCTGGGCGCGAGCATCATCTGTAACAAGATCCCAGGCCTGGCTCCCAGACAGCGGGCGATCTGCCAGAGCCGGCCGGACGCCATCATCGTCATAGGAGAAGGCTCACAAATGGGCCTGGACGAGTGTCAGTTTCAGTTCCGCAATGGCCGCTGGAACTGCTCCGCGCTGGGGGAGCGCACCGTCTTCGGGAAGGAGCTCAAAGTGGGTACGTGCTCACCGGACACTGCAAACAGGCAAAAAGGGTCTTACAGGCTACTGACAGAATACTCTTGGGAGCCCTCTGGGACTCCTCACCTGCCCATGCTGGGATGACTCCACTGTGGGATCCTCAAGGGGCTGCGACTTGAATTCAGGTCTCCTAACAAGAGTCGGCTCTCTGGTTTGAATCCAGACCACCCTGGCCCTGTATGGCAGAGTTGAATACTAACTGGTTGATACGGCACTTATGTTGTTTTTTGAATTGAAGCCCAAATTTAAAATTAGCCATTTTACCTAAAAATAAAATTTCTGAATTCTTTTGAAAAATAGGCTTACACATGTATCCACATAGTTATTATGGGCTAGAGCTGAGAACACAGCTTCCTTTAGGTGGAGCCTAGGCAACCCATTCACTGCCATAGTCCCCACCACTCCCTATTATCCATCTTAAATTCACCCTTATATGATACTAGAGGCCCCGTGCATGAAATTCATGCACTGGTGGGGGAGGGGTCCCTCAGCCTAGCCTGCACCCTCTCAGAGTCTGGGAGCCCTCAGGGATTGTCTGACTGCTGGCTTAAACACGCTCCCCCTGGCTGAGCGGTGCTCCCCTGTGGGAGCACACTGACCACCAGGGGGCAGCTCCTGCGTTGAGTGTCTGCCCCTGGTGGTCAGTGCATGTCATAGCAACCAGTCGTTCTGCTGTTTGTTGATTTGCATATTAGCCTTTTATTATATAGGATGCCTGGCCACTGTGGGCATTTCAGTTTGCAACCCCTATTGTTGCTTAGACACACCACACACACACACACACACACACACACACACACACACACAGAGGCACAAAGTGTCAGGCCATGCATTTGGTTTTCAAACCAATGCGAGAAAAGCCTGGTAGAAAGGGGTTGGTCATGGGAGCCCTGGTTAGTGAGGGGAAGGCCATGTTGTGTATCTTGCTTATGTGCATTGGACTGGAGGGCCAGCGACTCTGCAGGCTTGCTTTGAGCTGTGGACCTGCCTGAAGGTCAGGTCAGCCTCGTCTCTTTGGGCTGGAGTGGTTCACCTGGCCTACTCCACTGCTCAAAGGGCACCCCTGAGTTATTTCCCTCAGCCTCAACATCAACAAGTGCAATGGTTACTGAGAAAATTCACCCAAAACCCAGCCACTGCTCTGAGTCCTCACTTCCTTCCTCTTGGATCATACAGCTGGCGTATTTGGGCTCTCAGGTCCCCTGTCCCACTCCCATCAACCTGCTGCCCCCATCCTCCTGCAGATCCTCCTGCAGGCAAGGGCATCCTTTATAAATGGAAATCAGATTATGTCATTTCCTTACTTAACTCCTAGAGTGCCGGGGAGCGCGATTGCCCTCCTCCTGTCTTTTGCCAAAAGTGCCGGGAGCGCTATGGCGCTCCTTCTGCAGTGTCACTATTAGATGCTAGTAGTTCACTCTTTATTGACAGATGGCACCTAAGGAAAATCAGCAAAAATGCCTTGGCAATTTTAGCATAGTTCCTAGGATATTGGTTGGCACTCAAAGGGTTAAAACCCTGGGATCAGAATGAAATCCCGACTGCTGACCTCTGTCCCTGTCTGCCCCCAATCTTCCCTCTCCTCCTTGCCCACCCAACCTCAATCTGTTTCCCAAACACATCACACTGGGTCCTGCTTTCAGAACACAGCCCCAGGAGTTCTTTCTGCCTCAGATCCTTTCCCACAGCCCCATACTCCTGAGCCCTGTTCTCCGTGCATAGCTCCCTCAGCATCCAGGTCTCACAAGCCTCCTCAGGTCCCCTTTCTAAAGTCCTCTTTAGCCAGGAAGCCCCATCCCATCAGCCAAACACTTGGCACTGTCTACATCTCTTCCTCACTCTCTGGGAATGCTGGCTCTTGGGGGTCGGGCCCTCTGCCACATTCACCACTGAATGTTTTCTTTCCCCTTCTTCTTGTAAGGAGGAGCAGCAGTCTCTTGGCCCTGCAGAAGGTCTCATTTTGTCACCACCTTCTGTAGCTGCTTTCTTACTCACACCTGAGGGGACTGCTGAATAGGATCCCAGGTTCAGGGTGAGGTCGGCAGGGGTGTGGGAGCCTCCTCTTTCAGGACCTCACACGAGCTCCCTTTTCAACATCTTTGTGGGATAGGATCTTGCCTTGCACTGCCTGCCCTTGTTCCCCCACTTTCCAACCCCAGGGCTTACTTTTCAAGTGGAGAACCAATGGCCAGAGAAAGGAGGCACTGCCCTGCTCATGCCCAGAAATGGCATCAATACTGAGACTCCAGTTTAGGTCACTGAAATACCCATCTTGTGACCCTCCCCTGGTCATCACCTATGGTTTTTCTGCTAACTCATGCTCTCATCCCTGGCCTCTGTTTCCAGGACCCATGTCTAGGCTCTGACATTATTTCAATAATGAGGAAACTGAGGCTCAGAAGGGACCTGCTCAGGGTCAACAAAAGTGAATGGCAGGGTCTCCCAGGACTGGGTTGATCCCAAGCACAGCTTGCAGTCTTGAAATAGCCAGTCCATTGCTGGTATTGTAATGGTGCCTGCTGGGGTGCAGTGGCAGGCTATGGTGCAGGGAGGCCTGCCCCCACCCCCAGTGGGCCAGAATTATAGAACTGAGGGATCCTTTGCAGGCTGAGGCAAAGGACTACCGCCAGTACACACTGGACAGGAGTGGAGGGAGGCCTGAGGCAAGGAGCATTCTTCAAGAGGCAGGCTTGGATAGGCAGAGGTGGCCTAGGGAATTGAAGCAAAGAGAGGAGTCTAAGGAAACTCATGGGATAGCCCTACCTGGACCTGAAAGAGAATGGAGTCAGAGCCAGGAGGCATGTGGTCAATCTGAGCAGTTTGAATTTCTAGGTGGTGGGGGCAATTGGAGAATTTTGACCATGGGCGTGACTGACAAAGTAGGTCACATTGTATAAAATAGCCACCATTCAATGATTTTTGGCTCATGACATCATATGATTCAATCTAATAGGAATTCTGGAATTAAAGGGTGGGTACAGAATTCATTCATTCATTGTCATTCATTGATTCACTCATGCATTCACTCGCTGTGGCTGGAGGCTGCTGTTCCAGCCTGTGTGGTCTTGGATTCATGAGGGAGGTGAGCCTTAGGCATGTTGGGAGAAGAGCATTCCAGGCAAAGAGAATGGCCGGAGTAAAGGCCCTAAGGCAGAAACATGTTTGAGGAACAGTGAGGAAGCTAGTTTAGCTGGAGAACAGCAAAAGAGAGAAAGAGGAAAGCTCAGAGGTCAGAGAAGGAGCCAGAAGCTGGACAATGCAACATCTATCACGCCAAGTCAGGTTTTTGGATTTTCCTCCAGTGAATGGAAAGCAAGTGATAGGGATCTGACTTTCAGATTTAGCAGCATTGCTCTGGTTCTGGGAACATAAAGAACTGTGGAGGGGCAAGGCTGGGAGTTCCGAGTCTGGTACAATGTTCTAGACAGGAGGTGACCAGTGCTGTGGACTGAGTGGTAGCCATGGAGATCTGCTTGGAAGTGAGCTGCCAGGATGGAGGGAGACTAACAATCTAAAGACCACTGAGGAAGGAGTTACCCTTCTAAGGTGGTGGTAGTGGGAACAGATCAAGATTGGACCCAACTCCTACAAGGCTGAGAAGTCACTTCCCTTCTGAGCCTTGGTTTCCTCTTGTGTGAGCAGGTATCCTGCTAGAAAACACCAAGAAGCAAGTCTCCAATTTAGGCTTTCCGGGCTCTTTATCAGTGTTCTTGCCCCCATGGGTTGCCTTTCTGTGGGAGTGACCTGTCAACAAGGGCTGCCTTGCAGGGGTGAGGGAACAGGAGTATGGTATTTGACTTTTTGTTAGCTTGGCCATCCAATTCACACTGCAGAGAACTGGACACATCTGCCTTTAAAGAGACTTCCCAGAAGCTCCAACTTATGTTTCTGCTTATATCTCATTGGCTTGAACTTAGTCACATGACCATACCAACCTGCAAGGAAAGCTGGGAAATACAGTCTTTTATTCAGAACAGCTATAAGACCAGCTCAGGATCTGTGACTGAAGAGAAAGGGGAACATTGACATTGGAGTGGGCACTAGCCCCGGCATAGGTTTCATCCCATGCTGAGACCTAAAGGCTCTCCTTTCACCACCTCCTCAGCCTTCTCTCCAGTCCCCAGCTCTGCCTGTGTTTCTTGGCTCTGTCTCACCTTCTGAGTATTCCAGATTTTGCTGCATAGATCTGAGGAAGCAGTGGGCAAGGCCCTCTTGGCTGCTAAAACTAAAACTCAGTTCAGGGCACCCCAAAAGAAGAGGGGCTTCTAGTTGGCCTGTGTAACTGGAAAGTCAGGGATGGTGCTGAATTTCAGAATGGCTTGGACCAAAGGTGGTGTTGGCTTCTACCAACCTCAGAACCCACCCCATTGGGACAGCAAGATGGCCATTGCATCGTCAGCACCTAAGTTCAAGTCCTGCAGAAAGGCCTTAGCTTTCTCTGGCAGCACCTGCAGAGGTCCTATGGTTCACTCTGATTGGATCAGCTAACAGGGTTTGACTTTTGGTTGTGAGTCCATCCACACCAATCACAGTGCTTTTGTTGGTCAGGCCTGGGAGTCCTACCCAGACCATTTTTCCGGGAGGGACTGCTCATGAGTCTGTTAGTTAGCTCCGGCTGCTATAATAAAGCACCACAGGCTGGGCAGCTTAAACACAGACATTTATTTTCTCCCATTTATGGAGGCTGGTTTCTTCTGAGGCCTCTCTCCTTGGCTTGCAGATGGCTACCTTCTTACTGTGTCCTCAGAAAGTCTTTTCTCTGTGTGCATGCCCTTGATGTCTCTGTGTGTCCTAATCTCCTATTCTTATAAGGACACCAGTCAGTTTGGGTTAGGGTCACCCTCATGGTCTCATTTTAACTTAATCACCTCTTTAAAGGTCATACTGGGGGTTATGAATTTGGGAAGGGACACAATTTGGTTCATAACAATGAGCAACCAGAGGGCAGCATGGTCTGTGCATTAGGGGAAGGAATAA